TGAATGAATTTTATTTTCAAATAGTATTATAATTTTTAGATATTATTTACAATTTTATATTTTCTCATAATTTTCTTCTATTATATATATATATATATAAATATATATATATGTATATATATATATATATTTGAATCTTCTTTTGGGGAATATGAATTTTATATATAAAAAAAGATGTACCTCCAAAAAAAAAAAACATATTCAACGTTATTAAAAATGCATTTGCATTGCTTTCATTTAAAATCGATAGTATGCTTCCAAAATCAATTGAAATTTGATTTTAATCTCCTCATTCCTATTCCTTCCTTTTTTATTATCAGTATCTTATCATTACAATCACCATCTTCTTTTATTTTCGTGAGCGAACGATAAAGAGAGTAAATGATGATATTATTAACAATAAAATTATGAATTTGCATAATAAAATTATCAATATTAAATCTATAATTGTGAACATGTATATATCTTTTTCTACTGCATGTACGTTTTGTATTTAGCATGTGATTTGGTAGGTAGAACATAATTTGAAGAAAAATAATGATTTTGCATGTATCGTTACATTATTTCTATTGATACTATATTTCCTATTTAATAGTGAATGATATAGTATATATTATGTCTAGTAATCAATTTAAAATCATAATTTTATGAATATTCTATTCTACATTTACAACATTTTATCTTTTTTATCTTATTTTTATTTATAAATTTATTTTCAAATGATTTTAATAATTAATAATATAATGCAGTAATATTGATAATACAACAATATTTTTTGTTTTTAATTTGATAGATATAATTATATATAATATATTATTAAAATTTGTTATAAATTATAAGACTACATCAAATATGATGTACATATATATATATATACATACATACATATATATATATACTAGTGTATAGATATAAAGTTAAAGTAATGTAACGCCATCTGATCAAATCGTTCAAATTCTCCGTGCATGTTTCCCTTTAACCTCTAAAGTATACGTAACAGTGTTTTACGTTAGAGAAAATTACGCGTATTTTAAAAACGTAGTTTAATCTAAATCTCGCTTCAATCAAGTGTTTTTATTATTGTCATCGTATATGAATAATAGATATTAAGAATTATAAGTAGAAGTGAATAGAAAGGAAAGACCTTTGACAGAAATTCGAAGGCTAAAAATTTACGTATTCTGCCTGTTGTTGCAATATTCTCGCACTATGATAAAATCCTATTAATAATATCTACAAACGATTCAGTTCACATTGTAAACAGCAACTAGGGAAGAATAATCGACAAACTTTTATTGCTATATACTTCTGGATTTCTGCAATATCCTTTTATCTAAATCGTTATCTAAATCATTTTTTCGTTACTTCCCTTTGTTAATTATAAACAAATTACAGTTCACAATTCTTAGAATGTTTTGACTTAGTCGCTTTTCAATAACAAAAATTATTCCAATTATTAATTAAACTCGTATTTCGAGAATATGATACCTGTGAATTTTATAATTTCAAAGGTAAGTTTGTATATAATTTAACATTAATAATTTTTTAAACATAGAAAATTAATTTTAACTTATACTTTAATTTACACTATAAATTTAACATACATTTTTTATATTTAGGTATTAAACAAATTGAATTAAATTGCTTTGGAAAAATTCAATCATTAATTTTTAAGGATAAAATATTATCTTTAAAATCTATTACAAAAGAAAAAAATTTAAAAAATAATGGATACATCAATGCGTGAAAAACTACTTACTTTTGCGGATGTTATGATTAGAGTTCCACCTTTATTTATCATAGATGAATTACTTAGAATTGGACTTGGATTATCCAATGACAATGTAGTGCTTTATAGCACAGAACGTGGTTTTAAGATATCAAGAGTTTCAGACAGCATTGTAAATTCAATAATACCTACTTCATTGTTACAACCATTTGACTTTGAATATTTTGCTTATAAAATGCATTTTATAATGGCATTGAAGTTTTTATGCTGCTGTTTGGGTAAGATATTATATACATTTAGAGATTCTTGAATATAATATATTTTATTGTCTAAGCAAAGATATTTAGTAATTTTATTTTATTAGAGAATGAGATAAATTTTTATTTTAAACTTAATGAAAAATAAAACATATTGTTTATAATATAATTAGATTCAAAATAATAAAATTTATTATAGAAATTTTATATTCAAAGTTATAAAGTTGATTTCAATAGATTAGTATATTTTAAAAAGAAGCAAACTTTATAATATGCAGCATTCTTAAAGTATATATAAACCATTAATTTATAAATCATAAAGAATTAATATAAAAAATTAAAAATTATTTTATTCTTTTTTCTTTTATAATTTTAAATGTAAAAAACAAAAAATATAAAAATAGAAATGTTACAGTTAAAATTAAAATAAAAATCAATGATTCATTGTTAAATATTTATTTTTCAGGATATATAGCTGCAATATGCATATTTATGTTATGGACAAAACATCTAATAATTGTATATGTATACTTAATATCAGTAGGGACAATATTTATATCCTATTGGTCAAATATTAGTACAATGAAAGCTATTATTACATATGTGAGCACACAACGTGAATACACAACTAGCATACTTGATGATATTTTGACTCTTGATTTAAAATATATCTTAGACGAAGGACCAGGTTTCTTAATAATTCAGAATTATGTACTACAATGCTTATTAGCTAGCATTTTTTGTTATATTCATCTTGCACCAAGACATCCGATTCTGCAAAAACTTCTTGTATTAAGTTTTATGGCACCGCCGATCTTGGGCATTTGTCCATTGCCGGTAAGTTATGAAATTGAACTTCATATATATTAGATAAATATATTTTCAAAACTACTTTATCACGAATTTTAATTATACGTTTTATAACATCTCTATTGAATGTTATGAACAATAAGAAAAGAAAGAAAAAGATTTAAATAATGAAGCGATCTTTCGAGAACTTTATTTTCAATTTAATTTAAATCGATTTAAATTGCTAATATGTTTCGACGTAGTTCAATTAAAAACAATTGCATGTTGAAAAATAGATTTTTATTTACATATTTGTATATAGAATACTTTGATTTATATACATGTACATTATATAATGTTTCTCATATTTTCAAATATCACGTATAAAATATAAGTCATTTCTACATTTATGTACATATTATTAAATATTCATAACTTTTCAGACGCAAGTTCTCTATCATGTGCCAGTATTCGCAGCTCTTCTTCCATTAGCTGTATGTAAATTTGTTATTTGGTACAATGGAATTACTATGTTAAACACGATTTATATGGGTTATCAACATGCACGTAACTTCATAAGCAATTACGGTTTATCCGCACTTGCCGAAACCGAATGGATCCGATTGAACGTTCCGTGTGTATTACGTATGTTTTGGATGCTAAGAGTTGGAGGACAAGTGTTTCAGATCCTTGGAAATCATTACGGTGAAGAGACGTTTACCTATTACGTAATGATTAGAAGTTTATTAGTCAATGGTTGCGAAACATTGACGGCCGTCTTGGGAATGACAAGTATAATTTCATTTATTTGCGATTATATCGGATGTTTCTTTCAATGGGTGTTGCTCACGGAAGACGAAGACGAGAAGAGTATCGGTACTGTGTCCGCAATTTTATTTTATGTGCTGGCCTTGCAAACTGGATTAACAAGTTTGGATAGAGAGAAACGTTTGGTCAGATTGTGTCGTAATTTTTGTTTATTGTTTACGGCTGTTCTACATTTTGTCCACAATATCGTAAATCCACTTTTGATGTCGCTCAGCGCTTCGCATAATCCAGCACTTCATCGACATATTCGTGCTTTGGCAGTTTGCGTATTTTTGATACTATTTCCAGTGTCACTCTTAGTATATCTTTGGTCCCATTATACTGTAAACACGTGGTTACTTGCGGTATCGGTGTTTAGTATCGAAGTAATTGTAAAAGTGCTAGTTTCGCTCGCTATCTACTCTTTGTTTCTGATCGATGCTTATCGTAGCGTATTTTGGGAACAACTTGATGATTGCGTATATATAATACGATCTTTCGGTAATACGGTCGAATTTACATTTGGTATTATTCTCTTCTTCAACGGATTTTGGATGTTAGTGTTCGAATCTGGTGGAGCAATTCGAGCCATTATGATATGTATCCATGCCTATTTTAATATATGGTGCGAAGCAAAAGCCGGTTGGAGCGTGTTCATGAAACGTCGATCAGCCGTTAACAAAATCAATTCTCTGCCCGAAGCAAAGGCAGAGCAGCTTCGAATGCTGGATGATGTTTGCGCTATTTGTTATCAAGAGATGCAAAGTGCCAAGATCACGCGTTGCAATCACTACTTTCATAGCGTCTGTTTGCGAAAATGGTTGTACGTTCAAGATCGTTGTCCACTTTGCCACGATGTATTGTATAAAGTTGAGAATTCGCAAAACAAAAGCAACGAGATTATCCCCACCGAACAACGGGTAGTGGCAGATGCTGAAGACAATGTTCCCGGAGTGAACGAAGATAGGTGAAAAGACGAATAATTTTAATAAATGATAAACTGTTAAGAGTCGAAAATTTAAAGTCATAAAATATCGATCTCCGAATATCTTGCCTAAAAAAAAAAAAGTTTCGTTTCCTGTAAGTCGCTCAAATTTCAGTAATTTGATACGATTTACTTTAAACGTTTCTCGATAATGTTGAAGTCTGTTAAAAAAAAAAAAAAAAAACAATAAGGAATTCCACCATGAGAAAAACTCCGTTACCATTTAAATTTAGCTTATAAGAATATTTCTCTTATGATACCTACTGGTTAGAATCAAAAATTATATACATGTGATTTGCTTTTATACTTTCTCGAACATAAGCAACGCTCAAGCTTCCGTGCACTCATTCTGCTTATTCTTCCATTTTATAATCTTCTACTACTCTATAAATCAATATATTCCATTGATTTAAATTGAAAAGTTCGTATCGCTCGTATCGCATTACAGAATAAACGTCCCTGGATACGACCAACCGAATTATCGTGTATTTTATTGAATATGCGAATTTACTTTGAGCTTTCATCGTCAAATGAAAGGTGATAATGTGAGAGATGATGATAATAATATGATCAT